AATAAATGTGAAAAAGAATAAAAAGAAATTTTAAATACAAAACGAAAAATCGAAAAAATATTGAAAAAAAAAAAATAAAAATTTTAAAAGCCAGAATACTTATAAAACAACAACAACAAAAAATAGAAAAATGTTTGACGAAATTTTAATACCCTTTACAACTGCATTTCTTATAGTTTAAAGTGGTATAAAACCACCATTATAGAGGTTTTGATCGCTCAGTTGGTATGACAGCTATATGTTATATTTGTCCAAACTAAACAATTTCTTCGGAGATTATAATGTTGCCTTAGGTAATCATTCATACCAAATTTCGTGAATATACATTGACAAACAAAAGAGTTTTTCATACAAGGACTTGATTTTGATCGATCAGTTTGTATATCCACTATATGCCATCTGATCACTAGTTGTTCGATCTGAACAATTTCTCCGAAGATTAAACTGTTGCCTTTGGTAATAATCCATGCAAATTTTTGTGAAGATATCTCAACAAATACAAAAGTTCTCCATACAAGGCTTGAATTTTGAACGATCAGTTTGTATGGTAGCTATATGCTATGATGGACCGATCTAAACAATTTCTTCTGAAATTGAAGCGATGATTTTTAAAATAAGTCCCGTCAAATTTCATGAAGATACCTTGACAAACAAAAGAGTTTTCCATACAAGGTATGAACTTGGAACGATAAGTTTGTATGGTAGCTATATGCTATAGGAGTCCAATCTAAACAATTTCTTCGGAGATTGCAGCGAGGCCTTAAATAACATTATATGTAAAATTTTGTGAAGATACCTTGACAAATAAAAGAGTTCTCCTTACAAGGACTTGATTTTGATCGGTCAGTTTGTATGACAGCTATGTATATGGTATAGTTGTCCGACCTAAACAATTTCTTCGGAGTTGAAGCGCTGTCTTGCAAAATATTCCATGCGAAATTTCGTGAAGATATCTTGTAAAATGAAAGAGTTTTCCATACAAGGACTAAGTTTTGATCGATCAGTTTGTATAGGACCGAATAGAGTAAGGGGATGAAACTCATTTTTCAATTTTAAAAATGAAAACGAATGATCCGGATAAGTTAATTTCCAACATTTTTGACTACGGCGTACTGATAAAGTATCATAATTTAGGCCTCTATCACAGATCAGTGACTGGCTGATTGATGTTAAGTATAATTATGTTGATAGCTTGAAGAATTTTAGAAGTGTCTTCCAATTTTCAAACATAAACAGTCAATAATGGCTAAAAATGTTGCTTTTTATTATAAAAAATTTTAACTAAACAACTTCAGAACAAATTTTGAGTTTTAGAAGTCCTCTTTATGAACCAATTTTTGTATTTATTTTTTACACAAAAAGACATCTGACAAAAAAATGAGGATTTTTAACTGGAAAACATAAATTTAATTTTGTATAAAGAACTTTAACTTTATTATGAGCGGTACTCATATAGACACATTTTCTATCTAAAAAGCAGCCCATACACAAAAAAAAAGTAATAATAGTCAAAATAACACACCACTCACAACAAACAAACCAAAATAAAAACAGTAATGACACAATGAAATTAAAAAAATAATAATAACAATAATTAACAACAGCAACACCACCAACACTTTAGCACAACATAATAGCAACAACAAACAACAATTATTTTATAGCAAACCAAAAAGACCGTTGAACCGTATGAGAAAACACTTTTTGTCCACAAATTTCTTCCTCTCTTCTTCTTCTTCTGCAGTTTTTATTAGCACAATTTACTATGAAATTAAAGTTAAAATGAACAAGCAAGAAACAAAAAAAAAAACAACGAATTTCGAAACGCCAACAAGCAGCGCGTAGAAGAAACTAATAAATTTGCAGACTCGTAAATCGTAAATCGTTTGGAAGATATTGTGTATGCGGCGCGGCGCACTTTGCGCTTGTGCGTACGGCTTGCTGCGGCGTAACCACCCCACGACCACACTCGCTCGGCGACTAAACGGCTAAAAGCCCAGTGGCAATAGTGGAGCCAGCCGAATGTGAAGCGACGCGACCACTGCGAAGAGCAGCCAAAATAAGCGCGTGCGAGCGGCCGCAAGCAAGTGTGCTAGTCGGGCGGCATATGTGTGTGAGTGTGTATTCGCGCGCGTTAGTTTCTCAACTCTAGTTTGGTGCCGAAAATAGTAAAATTAATTTTATCTGCATTTTGCTCGTGTGTTGCGCCTGAGAGCGCTGGCGAATCGAGCACAACTGGGCGACAAGGCAGCGCGTTGTGCTGTGTTGGCCGGCGGCAGGCCGCGTCAAGTAGCCAAATCACCAGCCGGCCAGCTGCGCAGCTATTACGGTAATTTCGTTAATGGCTTTTTAAGAAGTGCAGAAAAATGTTCATAATTTTTTACTACGTTTTCTGGTGCGCCACTTTTAAATATTTCTTTAACACTTACTTAAATCTTTTTTTTTATAGCCTTCATTTTGTTTGAGTAGTGTGGGAATTCTCTTTGTTAATAAGGTTTTTGTGAATGAACTGGAAAGAGTAGCAATCGATTGCGTGCCAAAAATAGTAACTGATAATTACGCTAATGACTGTGGTTAATTCAAGTTGGCAGTGAGTTTTAACCGTGTTTGAAGTTGAGATGTTTAGCGTGTTTGAAGTAAATGTTCGAAGTGTAATTGCAAAAAATAATATAATTGTAATTTAAATATATATTTGATAAACGAGTCTGCGAACTTGACCTTGGTTTTTGGGCACAGGTCGTCTGACAATCGCTTATTATTTAACTCAAATAGTAAAGATAATGACATAATTTATAACTCTAATGTCGCAACTCGTAATTCGTTTGAGTTTGTAATTAAATACTTCCCTGATTTCGGCACAGATAAATTTTAAAAATAATGACTTCTAAAATGTCTACTTTTCTACTTTTGCTCTCAATTAATGAGAAATATTTGTCTCAAAATATTTTTTTATACACCTCAATGATTTCCAGCGCAAATTTGAAGCATACTTTTTGCTGTTTCAATCATATTCATTTCATTAAAAGATAATTTTACTTCTCAGCCGGTTAATGAAAAAAATATAAATAATTTGCAACTTCATAGAACTTTTTGTGGGGTCGTTCCAGTTAGTTTTTATAAAATAAGACAATACACTTTGGTCTACTAAACCTCAAGCAAACAATCTATAATATCTCGCTTCGATAAGCACAACCTTTTTAGAAGCTATGCTCTGTGGAATGAGTCGGGAAGCTATCAGCAATTGGAGGACAAAAAAAAAATTTAGTTAATTAACTTTATAAGAAACTTTGCTATGACAGAAATAAAATCTTAATTTCGGCATTACCTCTAAACTATAGCTAGAAAATACGGATCAAACCCACATCCTGTATTCTGATAGTAGACGCCTCCTCTTATCATCACACTAACTTGCCTCTTAAAAACCTCAGTTTTTCGAGAAGAATTAGTAGTCAAAAACTTAAGAGACCAGCTCACCCATTATAAACTGTAGAGCTAGTATACTCAACAGTCTTATGACGAATTATATGTATATTAGACAGATAAACATGATGATTTTCAAAATTAAACATTCAAAATTAACCTTACTGAAGAAAAATGCCAAAAGAGCGGCACACAGCAAAGCTTAGCCGGTTCCACTAGTACATATGTAGTAAATATAAATGAAGAAAAAAATGATTTTCTATCCCAAAATTTTTTAAATATTAGTCCATAGACCCGAGTGGAAAAAATGACACTGTCATCGCCTGAAAAATCTCGCGTATGCTCCACTTGTTAACACATTATTTTCTTTATTGACATGTTTACAACCACAGGCTGTGTCTGCCGATGCTTTTGTCGCAACAAATCCCTTTTGACGAAGAAAGATGCGACGCAACACTTAGCGCACAAAGACGAACATAAATATATTTCGATTAACGACACGCATAAAAATGTCAGTGGGCATTATATTTTTTGCTTAATTAACGAAATCATAAAGGGCTTTTAGTATAAAGTTTACAACAACGGAATGATATAAGGGACAAAAAGAGAGGTGAGAAAAAAATTATAAAAAAAATATAAAAAAATAAATTGAAAAAATGTAAAAATATTAAAAAATTAAAAAATAATAAAATATTTAAAAAAAAATTTAAAAAAAAAATTTTAAAAAAAAAATTTAAAAAAAAAAATTTTAATATTAAAAAAACAAGTTTAAAAAAATAATTAAAAAAATTGTTTAATTAAATAAAAATTAAACTGCAAAAATATGAGTTGTATACACACACCCGTAAAAAGAAATATACAAAAACAAAACAATGAGAGCTATATACACTCCTATAAAAAAAAAAAAACACGCCCGCTCAGCTTACAGACAGACATGTAAGAAATGAAATAAATTTGGTTAAAAATAACAAAATTAAATGAAAAATGGACAAAAGAATATAGGAAGAAGAAAATGTACGAAAATACAAACGGAAAAACGAACGAAATCAAATGCAGCTAATTATAAACACTTTGCTCATTTGCGGAAAAGAAAAGCAAAAAAATAAAAAATTAAAATTAAAGAGAAATGCTTAGAAGGGAAAAAATAGCGGACATTTTTTTTTAATTTTTTTTTTTTCTATTTTCTTATTATTTTCTCAAAGCGCGTCACATCGAGTGGGCACGGACAAGGCGACACTTAGGAGACGCTGCATTAGAAGCGCGCACAGACGCGTCAAAATGTCGGAAATGCAGCAGGCGGACAGTCAGTGCTTAGAATATTATTATTATCACTCAGTATGGAGGCTGACACCACTACTACGGCCGCCATCGCCATCGCCACTGCCGCTTGATGCTTAGGCACTCCCAAGTGCTCCGATTGCTTTGCACTCGAAATTGCAGCGTCCAACTAATGACAGCGTGTTGTTGCTCGTAAAGCTTTTTTGTAGCGGTAAGTGACAACGCAAAGTACTGTACATGTGTTGCACATTAAACAGCTTGCAACTGTTCGTGGCACTTCATTGGAAAAATGCAAACGATTGCAAAAAATTATGTTTTATAGGTCAAAAATGTCCTCACAGCTCGTCAAACGATTGCGGCTATGAAAGTGTTTAGGAGTTCTTCACACAGTTTTTTTGCTGCTCTTATTGTTGTTATTGTTGCGTGGCAAATTGCGGAAGAACAAAAATGTCATTATGTCATATAATGGAGCGCTTGCAACGGGTGTTTGTATGTGAGTATTTATTGAACGGCAGCGAGCAGCAATTAACACACACGGACGGCACTTTGCATGCGAAAACGATTCGATGCAAATGGGTCAGTGGGTATTTTGGACGGGCTATTGAGCTGCTGCCGGTATGCTAATTATATTTCGATGCTTAATTGAGGTTGAGTACACTTATATTATATTGTTTTTCAGAAAGTTTTTAAAGATTGGGTTTACATAATGTCAGTTTATATAAGATAGGCTTGAAGTCTATTGAGCCTTCCCTCTCCAAAACAACTCATACAGCTACCGTACGTATACAAAATCGGAAAATATACTTAGAGCGAAAGTACTGCCTTTCGACCTGACATTTTCGCCTTCGAGCAGTCAATGTAACACTTTACCATTTGATCAAATTTGACCCGGACTGATCCACATATTTTGATTAATGTTCTGGGTATGAAGCGTGTCAACGACAGACTCGTAGCGAAAGACCGCAACCTTCTGAAAAAGCGACGAGGAGTAGAAATGTTTAAAAACTTAAGAAGAGAGTTTGACAAGCTGGCCGACAGGGGTAATGCTCGAAAATTCTACGAAAAGATGCGACGACTAACAGAAGATTTCAAGACCGGAGCATACTCTTATCGAACCTCCACAAGTGATCTAGTCACCGATGCCTAGAGCATACTGAAATTATGGAGGGATAACTTCTGCAGCCTGCTTTATGGCAATGAAAGCATAATACCAGGAGAAGGCGAACCCGATTCCCCAATCGATGACGATGGAGCAGACTGAAGAACAACAAAGCGGCGGGGGCCGATGGAATGCCGGCCGAGCTATTCAAACACGGCGGCGAAGAGCTGATAAGGAGCATGCTCCAGCTTCTTTGTAGAATATGGTCGGACGACCAATCCCACAAAAAGGGAGACCCCACAATCTGTGCCAACTACCGTGGGATACATCCCGTATAATCTTCTATCGAGCGTATTGTGTGAAAGATTAAAGCCCGCCATCAATAAAGTGGTTGGATCTTATCAGAGTGGCTTCTGGCCTAGGAAATCAACAAGTGACCAGATATTTACCATGCGCCAGACCCTTGAAAAGAGGATGGGTACACACCATCTCTTCGTCGATTTCAAAACTGCCTTTGATAGCACGAAAACGAGTTGCCTTTATGTTATGTCTGAACTTGGTATCTCCACAAAACGAACACGGCTGCGTAAACTGATGTTGATGTTGAGCAATACCAAAAGCTCCGTCTGGATCGGGAAGTACCTATCGGAGCCGTTCGATACCAAACGAGGTGTTACTTCAGACTGTGTAGGCAATTGAGAAGGAAAGTAATATCTCGAACAAAGACCAAACTCTATATGGTGCAGAGACATGGACGATGACAACAGCTGTTGAGTCGGCTTTACGAGTTTTCGAGAGAAAGATTTTGCGGTAGATTTATGGTTCTTTGCGCATTGACATATGCAAATACCACAGTCGATGGAACCATGAGCTGTATGAGACACATTTACAGAGTACAGCGGTGACATTTACAGAGTACAGCGAATCAAGAGACAGTGGCTATACTGGCTAGATCATGACGTCCGAATGGATGAAACCATTCCAGCTCTGAGAATATTCGACGCAGTATCCGCCAGAGGAAGCAGAGGAAGACAAAGACCTCTACTCAGTTGAAAATACCGGATGGAGAAGGACCTAACTCTTGCGCTCTTGTAAACTCGGCCATAACCACATAAGCGGTGTCGACGCCAGTAAAGAAGAAGAAATGCAAGCAAATGTATTTTTTGTCATT